CCAGCCCAATCTACTCATTTTTGCTTCCTCCTCTTCACCCCCCAACTGCTTCAAACTCCCAACTGGGAGGGTATGTGGCTGCACACTGGCCTCAGCCTGCAGCTCCCCCTCCTTTTATATACATCTCTGCCCTTTCTTCTAAAACAGGAACACGATCAAGTTACATTCCTGCTTCCAAATGACAATGGTTCCACGTTAGGTTTTTTAGGATCCTGCAGGATTCTTCAAAACCTGGTCACAGACTCCAGGAATTCCTGTTACTTCCAGCTAGAGGGAGTTCAGCATAATGGTTAAGGGCGTGGTGGCGCACGCCTGTAATCCCAGCACTGGGGAGGCTGAGGCAGGAGGATCACTGTGAGATCAAGACCAGTCTGGGCTGCATAGTGAGTTCCAGGTCAGTCTCAGCTACATAGTGAGACCCTGTCTCAAAAAACAAAACAACAACAAAAAGAATGTGAGTGCCGGGGTCCCAGTCTTGTCTCTGCCAGCTCTCACCTGGGGCAAGTCCTTGACCGTCCCTTGCTTCATCTGGAAAATGGGAACCGCGGTGGCTATTTTAACCTAAGTCACTGCTTGCTTCTATTGTCAAATATTAAGGACAAAAAGACATAACTGATAGATCCAAAACACGCAGTAAATAAGGACAGAGTTAATGTTCCATGCCCCTTAGCACCTTGTTCGTTATGCTGAGCCTCTCCATCTCCTACCCAGGAAGCTCAGTGTCACAGTCTTCAAGATGTCGCTCACAAGGTCACCTCCCTCCTCCCCAAGGCAGCCAGTTACTTCTCCTTGTGTGCTGTTGCCTTAATAAATCTTCCTACAGTTCATTACACTCACCATGGAACTGCATTCAGTTGTTTTTATTAATTGAGTCACAGTCTTCCTGTGTAGTTTCGACTGGCCTTGAATTCACTATGTAGCTCAGGTTGGCCTAAAACTCACAGTGATCCTCCTGCTTCAGCCTCCTGAGAGCAGGCCTGGCATGCGCCACCACACCCAGCCATTACCCTTTAAAGTTGATTTGTATGTGTGTGCCTGTGCACGCGTGTGTTAGTGTAAGTGACACGAGGCACTTTCTTGAATGATAATATCACAGCTCATTGTGCAGCCAAATTTAATGGAAAACTCCCTATGTTACTCCATGGAATGTGGTACAGCACTTTCTTTTGGTTTTCTACACTCCAGAAAAGTTGATGATACTAAGATAAATTTGAAGATACTTTTAGTCCTCTGACTCTAGCCTCATTCCTTTCATTGGCATGAGCATAATCAAGAATAGTCAGTAACTGCCACAGCTCGTGTCTAGATGCCCCAAGGCCTTATGCCGTCATGGGGGAGCTTTTTCCAGAGGTGGCTGGATCTACAGCATGTGATGCTCAGGGGCACTGGGATGAAGGGTGTGAGTGCCGCCTGCCCAAGCAGCCTGGATACGGTAAAAGGGGCAGAAAGAGCTGTGCTCGTCCCTTGTCACTTTGCTACCTTCTGCCTGCCATGAGCTGTTTCTCCTCTGTGACACCTACCGGCTGTGCCACCCCGTCTTGGAGCCAGCCAATTACGGACCTCCGCCTTTACAAACTCTGAGCTAAATAAGCTCCTTTAACTTTGGGTGTCAGTATTTTGTCTTAGCGGTGAGAAAAAAATGTAACTAAGACACTGTCTTAGCAATAGTAATTTTTTGGTGTGTGTGGTACTCGGGATTTAAACTAGGGCCTATGTATGGAGCCATATCCCCAGCACATTTTTATTTTTCATTCATTTCTTGAGACAAGGTCTCCTCTGTAGCCTAAACTGGCCTTGAACTCACTATGAAGCCCAGGCTGGCTTCAATCTTGCTGCAGTCCTCCTGCCTCGGCCTCCTGAATGCTCGGATTACAGGCTTGTACCACCACAGCCAGACTGAATTACACATACTTTTCTGTACTTGACTCCTGCGACTGATCTCTCAGCTGGCAGGATGGGGCCGGGTCTCACTGCTAAGTATAAGCCTCACCTGTTGTCCCACAGGGTGCCGGGTTTAGAAGGTGTTCACTACGCTTTGCCGAACAAACGGCCTTTGTTCCCAGCTTCATGGCACCTAACAGAGTCTGCCTACAGCACGTTATTTCCCCGAGAGCCTCAGACCGTGTCTTTCCCATCTTTGTGTCAAGGCAGCTAACATAAATATACACAGGAGTCAGGACAAATACACATAAATACACACAGCAGGTATACAGAGTTCAAAACAATCTGCTTGGGTCAGTTCCAGGGTTACAAATTAAAATATTTCCATTGGTTTGTTTGTGCATTTTGTTTGTTTGTTTGTTTCTGGTACTGGGGATCGAACCGGGGTCCTTGGGCTTTCGAGGCAGGCAGCAGAACCACTGAACTAAATCCCCAGCCTGTGTGTTCTATTTTTGAGACAGAGTGTTGCTGTGTAGTTTCGGCTGGTCTTGAAAGCACTATGTAGCCAGGTGTGGTGGTGCATGCCTGGTATCCCAGCACTCGGGAGGCTGAGGCAGGAGGATCGCTGAGTCCAAAGCCAGTTTGAAGACCTTGTTTCAAAAAGCAAAAAAAAAAAAAAAAAA